CCGCCACACCTGGGTTTTATCTAGAGGTGGAACCCAGGGCCCCAAGCATGCTAGGTAAGCACGTAGCAGCTGAACTCCAGCCAGCAGTGTTTTACTTACTCCTCTTTGATGGTGTTTGCAGTGCTGGGGAGATTGCGCTTTGTGTGTCTGGCTCCCAGGTCTCATTTGAACTCCGTGAGCATTTGCATGTTAACAAAATAGTTTTGCAGAGCAGAGAGAGCAGAGACAGGAGGGCTAAGAGTTCTAGTCCAGCCACAGGTACACAGCGAGTTGAGGTCAGCCTGCACTAGATGAGACCCTGCCTCCAAATGGACAGACAAATGAATTTTGCAGTTTTCTGAGGCGGTGCAATGGCACATATCTAGTGGAGATGGCACATTCGTTTTTGTGAATGAGTGGAGCTCACGCCAAATAGCATTCAGCTCAGCAGCTGTACTGCCCACTGGACCCTGCCAGCTGCCCAGTGCCAGGAGCACTGAGATGGTGCTCTCCTGGCCATTTAGTGTGCCATGTGTCCAGAGCACTGACGGGCTCTACACAACACACTTAGCAGTTCTCCTTTAGGCTTGTGATTGACCTTATATAGTGATCCTTCCCTCGACTATCATCTTACATAGTAAGGACAGACTAGGTGACCTAGAGAATTTTAACATTGTTGACTAGGTGTAAGTCCATAGCTGGGAGCTGGTCTTTCAGTTGTGCTGGAAGCTAGCATAGTCAGGTGCCACTCACTCACAGACAGGTTAGCACAGGCTGAGCACCGAGGTAGTGGTAGAAAACACTTCAGATGAATTTGAGTTCCACTTTTTTTCACTCCACTCACTTCATTATTGTCTTGACCTGACTTGTTCTGAACTTTGACAACAAAAGTTAGTTAGTTTGAAACAGGGTCTCAGGCTGTGTAACCCAGGTTGGCCTTAAATTCACAATCCTCCTGCCTCAGCATTGTACATGCTAGAAGTACAGACATCCACCGCCACACCCAGCCTCTACAGCCTTTATATATATTTATATGTTAAACTATACATCGTCTTATATACCAGTGTGTGTGGTGTATGTGTGTGTGTCTTCATCACTCTCCAGCTTGTTGTTGAGATGGAGAGACTGACGGAGGTCAGAGCTCACTGTTGGGCTGCCTGGCTGGGCTGGGAGTCTCTGGGAGTCTCCTGTCTCTGCTCCCAAGGCTGCTGCCCCTGGCTTTTTATGTTGGCCCTGGAGAACATGCTTGTCTACAAGCCCTCTACCCACCGAGTCACTTCCCCAGCCAGTGGGTTTACCTAAATATGTACATATAACTTCTTTCCTCTCCGCCTTGAGAACGTGGTGAGGTGATCTTTTTACTAAGTTTTTCAACAGGAACAGAATTTGAAGCCATAGCTAAGAAGCAGTGGAGTCAGACTCAGCAGAGCTCCTGACCCCAAGTCCCGTGTTTTTCCTCTGTTGCTTATGTGGAGAGGCACATCTGCTCTCCCGGGTCACCTCCCCTCTTACCACAGCACATCAGCTTCTGAGTGTGGCTGAGTTTTGTGTGTGCTCTGTGGCTAAAGTTGTAGTTCCTCACTGGGGCCATATCTGGAGACGCCTGTGGTTACAACTGGAGGAGAGTGCTGCAGGCATTTAGTGGGCAGAGACTTGGGACAGCACTAAACAGAGATGTACAGAGCACAGGACAGCTCTAACAGTGAACACTCATCCATCTCCAAATACTGGCCTCCTGGGGCTGAGAAACCCTGCTTTAGAGTCTGGAGACCTTGCAGTCACTCTGTATACAAGACTGTTAAGAGGAGGGGACTGAAGTCCTGTCACATTTAAAAAAAAAAGGGCCAAGGGGGAGAGATGAGAGGCAGAAAAAAAGTACCACAGATAGGGATAGTAGCTCCAGTGATTGTGAAGATGTTTGTAAATGTTGGAATTTTTGAGGTGTCTCGGAAAAGGGGAATGTTCATTTTTTTAAAAAAAGTTTTGAAACCAGGGTCTCATTATATAGCCCTGGCTGCCCTGGAACTCAACATGTAGGCAACTTGGTCTTGAACTCACAGAGATCCATCTACCTCTGTCCCTGGAGTGTGGGGGTTAAAGGCATGTACTATCACCACCCAGCTTGAAACATTGAATGAAAACTTTAAAAAGATGCTTGAAGTGAGGAAATTTGAGACCAGAGTTTACCCCACAACTTAGGCTAACCTGCAGTTTATTGTGTAGCCGAGGCTGGCATCAAATTCACAGCAGTCTTTCTGCCTTGGACTTTTGACAGCTTTGATTACAAGCCACTGTAGCTTAAGTTTTCCTGCCTGGCCCACAGTCAGGACAAATCTCTCTCACCTGCCAGTCCCACAGCCGTCAGACCCGACCAAGTAAACACAGAGACTTGTATTGGTTTCAAACTGTATGGCCATGGCAGGCTTCTTGCTAACTGTTCTTTCAGCTTAAATTAATCCATTTTTATAAATCTATACCTTGCCACATGGCTCGTGGCTTACCGGCATCTTCACATACTGTTTCTCATCATGGCGGCTGGCAGTGTCTCTCTGACTCAGCCTTCCACTTCCCAGCTTTATTCTCCTCCTTGTCCCGCCTATACTTCCTGCCTAGCCAATGGCCAATCAGTGTTTTAATTATTGACTAATCAGCAACACATTTGACATACAGAACATCCCACAGCACTTCCCCCTTTTTTTTTTTTAAAAAGGAAGGTTTTAACCTTAACAAAGTAAAATTACATATAATTTGGGAATTTGGACGTAGCTTCTCTTACTACTTCCTGCTGGAGGGGGACGCTGTATCTTATGGGGAAACAAAGAAAATTTTAGGATTATGGAATAGTCCATGAGGCTGTATCGTCTGAGCCAGTTGCCTTGAAACCATTCTGGATGTTGGATCATCTGGGCCATGGTGTCATAGGAGACCTTTCAGGGGGTCTTGGCTGGTCAAACCTGATGTATCTTAATCTTGAACAAATCCATAGCCTCTGGCTTTCTGTGGAAACAAAAGCAGAGTCTCCTTTCCAAAGTAACATATCCTTATATCCAAATTTTGAAGTCAAGGTACCTTTAAAATATACATTTTGGCATAACTCAACAGCTTTTACAATCAAATATTTTTCTGCAGTTAAAAGTCCCAAAGACAACACAATGCAGATTCTCTGTGTAATATCCATTTTTACGTGGCTTATTTTTTATACTACCTTTACTGTCTCTTTAAAGACTTTATTTTTTAAAACTATGTATTTATTTCTATAACTCTATATATCTTTTTTGTCTCTTTCAAGCCTACGTATCTTTTTACACACATTGTAAACTATTACATCTGAATCTGTCTTATTGTGAATCTATTGCCTTAAACTGCAGCAGCTGTGGCTGCTGGATCCACCCACCTCAGCTTCCCAACATGGCCATGGTTTACCGCCAGCTCTGGGAGCTATCGGGGGTCTATGCTTTTAGCCAAGCAGCGTGTAGCCCAGAAACCTCCCCTTTTGCTCTGCACCAGCAAAGGCTAAATCCACCATGCAGCTCAAAGTGCCACTTGCAAAGGCCTCATTCCCGCCATAGGCAGGTCGAGCACGCACGCTAGGAACCCGCCAGTAGCTCAAACCAGCAGCTGCCGCTCATTTGAGAGAGACAATTAGGAACTGTTTTTAGCTCCGTTTTAGAATCTTTTCTCAGGTTTTTAGGTGGAAACTCTTGCCACCACGTTGGACGCCATTTGTAGCTTAAGTTTTCCTGCCTGGCCCACAGTCAGGACAAATCTCTCTCACCTGCCAGTCCCACAGCCGTCAGACCCGACCAAGTAAACACAGAGACTTGTATTGGTTTCAAACTGTATGGCCATGGCAGGCTTCTTGCTAACTGTTCTTTCAGCTTAAATTAATCCATTTTTATAAATCTATACCTTGCCACATGGCTCGTGGCTTACCGGCATCTTCACATACTGTTTCTCATCATGGCGGCTGGCAGTGTCTCTCTGACTCAGCCTTCCACTTCCCAGCTTTATTCTCCTCCTTGTCCCGCCTATACTTCCTGCCTAGCCAATGGCCAATCAGTGTTTTAATTATTGACTAATCAGCAACACATTTGACATACAGAACATCCCACAGCAAGCCACCATGCTCAGCAAGATCATTTTTGGAAAAGAGTTTTTTGAGATAAACTTTTCTTATAGCGCCGTCTTTACAGACTGTAATGAGTATTTAAGCTTTACTCGTGATTTATCTTTTAAGGGACAAGAAACCTACATTAAACTGTAATCAGAACTGAATGTAATCAAATGCACTCTCAGGGCTGATGCAGTGAGAACCCACTTACTTTATTAGGTATCATAAGTGTATCTGACATTCTACTGGTCAGGGGACATTCAGTAAAGAAGCTATCACCTGTCAGCAACTTGGGATGTTACTTGTGTGTTAAAATCTGAGTCTTAATTCATGTGTTAGACCTTCCTTAATACTCTGGGTTCTTTTCTGGACAGATGTCAGCATTAAATCCAAGTCAGATAAACAGTGACTTACCTTTTCTGGCCATTATCTTTGTAAAAATTTTGAATCTTTGCTTCCTCCTTCTCCTTCCTTCCTCTTCCCTCCTTCCTTTCTCCCTCCCTCTTTTCCTTCCTTTTTCCAGAGACAAGATTTCACCATATGGCCCAGGTGCTCTAGAACTCATGGTGATCCTCCTGTCTTGGCCTTTCAGATCTGCCATTGCAGATGTGTGCACCATGTCAGGTTCCTACCATTGCCTTTTAACGGCTTTAGCTCTTTTTGAGGGTAGGCTGGGAGCATGTCACTCATTGCCGAGTTTCCCTTCATATTTTATAGCACCTTGGCTGTATCAAGCCTGTTTGCTACCCTGAACTAATCTAGAAATGGCATGCTTGATAGTCATGTGCTTTGGGCTAACTGCTACAGGGCCCACCTGCCCAGACTCCAGCCTGTACAATAACTGTGAGCTTTTCACTGTGGTCCTTGAGCCAAGGGCCCTTGGAGTCACCTCCTCCAGCTGTCATTGCAGGTGAACCACTGTCTCCCAGAGAAGATCGTGGTCTACCGAGATGGAGTGTCTGATGGCCAGCTAAAGACAGTTGCCAACTATGAGATTCCTCAGCTGCAGAAGTGCTTTGAAGCTTTTGAGAACTACCACCCCAAGATGGTGGTGTTTGTGGTTCAGAAGAAAATCAGCACCAATCTGTACCTTGCCGCTCCCAATCACTTTGTGACCCCCTCCCCTGGGACTGTGGTTGATCATACCATAACCAGCTGTGAGTGGTAAGTAGACAAAATGAGGAAGAGTAAGCTGGAGAAGTTGCTTGTTGCCTGAATATTCCTGGAGAGGTGTAGAATGGAATCCTCATTGGGGTGTTGAAGAAAGCAAGCTTTGATTGAGCTCAGTGGTAGAGCAATAGTCCTGCATGGGCACAAGTGCATCTCTGTCAACCCCCCCCCCCCACACACACACACATACACACACATGAGTATACGTGGCATGCACACACATTTTGTTACTGGGAATTTAACCTTGTGCCTCATGAATGCTAGACAAACACTCTACCACAAAGCTGTGTTCAGAGGCCTAAAAATTTTTTTTTTTATTTTTGAGACAGAGATTCTCTGTGTAGCCCTGGCTGTACTGGAACTGGCTCTGTAGATCAGGCTGGCCTCGAACTCAAAGAGATCTTCCTGTCTCTGCCTCCTGAGTGCTGGGATTAAAGGCGTGCTCTACCACCACCGAGCTAAAAAAGTTTTGTTGGTGCTCTTTCTTTGCTAGGGTGGATTTCTACCTTCTTGCCCATCATGTGCGGCAGGGCTGTGGCATACCTACCCACTACATCTGTGTCCTGAACACTGCAAATCTGAGCCCTGATCACATGCAGAGGTGAGCCTGTCAGAAATGGACTTGTTCTCACTGTTCATCCCGACTAATAGCTAAGTCATAAGTCACTGTCTCTCAAGATAGCATATTCCTTTTGTGTGTGTTCTTATGAACACAGGTCTAGAGGCTAAGGTCAGCATCAGGGTGTCTTTTCTTAGCAGCTGTCTACCTTGATTTTTGAGACAGTATCTCTCACTGGGATCTAGAACTCCAGTTAGACAAGGTCTGTCTCTGGTGTTGAGATTACATGCACTCACCATGTGGTTGCTGGGGACTGAGTTCCGGTCCTCACTTGTACAGTAAGCATTTCACCAACTGAACTGGCCGACAGTATTTTACCCCTTGACTCCCAGATCTTGATAGTATAGTAGTTATCTTTTTGAGGAGTGATTTGTATTCCTGTTTTATATTAAAATCACTTGAACTTTAAGAAAATGTGGGTACCTGCTAGCCTTCACTCCTGTGTGTTATAAAGCATTGGTTTTGTTATGTTGCCCAAGTTGGTCTCAAACTCTTGAACTAAAGTCATGCTCCTAACACTCAGCCTTCTGAGTAGCAGAGATTACAGGACACACTACCATGTCTACGGGCATTTATATTTTAACACTCTGCTGCATGTGGTAGCACGTGCTTATAATTTTATCACTCAGGAGGCTGAAGCTAGAAAATCACCTAGAATCACCAGCTTGAAGGACATAGTTAGTTCCAGGCCAGTCCCAGCTATATAACAAGACCTTATCTAAAAAAGCTAGTTAACTAGCTAGATGGAAAGATAGATAACCACTGCAAATGACTAGGACATACAGCCATGTTTATGATGTACTGACACAGTAGACTGGTAAATGTCCTTTTAGCCTTTTCCTGTAGACAAAATAGGTTTTCCCTTTGCAATGATTTTCTTCTTTTATTGTATTATATTTTACATGTACAGTGTTTTGCCTACATAAATATATGTACACCATGTGTGTGCTTGATGCTTGTGGAGGCTAGAAAAGGTATCAGATCTCCTGGAACTGGAGTTATAGATGGTTGTAAGCTATCATGTGGTTGTTGGGAACCAAACCTGGGTCCTCTGGAAGAGCAGCAGGTGCTCTAACTGCTGAGCTATTTCTCCAGCCCCCCTTTTTTAATTAAAAACAAAAACAAACAAACAAAAAACAGGGAAATACCTAAAATGAGAAGGTACCTGTCCTTTGGCTTAAGTGGAAATGTAAACAATTCCAGATTAAAAAATAATGATTACTCTCTCAGACCTAGTGGCTCACACTTAATAATCCCAGCACTTGAGAGGCTGAGGCAGGAAGATCACTGGCAGCTCAAGGCCAGCCTGGGCTAGTGGAGTTCTGAGCCAGCCTAGGCTAGATAGTTGAGAGCATGTAACCCCAAAACAAACCAACCAAGCAAATATAAAACCAATAGTTCCTGAAAATGACATTAGGTTTCCAGGATTCCTCAGTTTGTTGGTGAGTGTGCTGTGTGCTATATCCCCAAGAGAGTGAAACCCTGCCCACCCCTAGGTGAAGGTGGAAGTGTTAACACATTTTCATCCTAACTTTAGGTTGACTTTCAAACTGTGCCACATGTACTGGAATTGGCCTGGTACTATCCGAGTTCCAGCTCCTTGCAAGTATGCCCACAAGCTAGCCTTCCTGTCTGGACAGATTCTGCATCATGAACCAGCCATCCAGCTGTGTGAGAACTTGTTCTTCCTGTAACTGGCAGCGTGGACACTGGCTACAAGGGGCAACTGGACTCCAGCTCTGCTCATTCTCACAGAATCAACAGAAACGGCAGTGGGGTTTTATGTTGGCATTTTCTCTTTCTCCATCCTTGTAGAATTAGATTTCTCTTCTTTTAACCCTGGTATTACAGTAGAGTGTGGTGGTGCATGTCTGTTATCCCAGCACTTGGGAAACTGAAGCAGAAGGATCTTTAGTTCAAGGCCAACTAGGGCTACATGGTGAGTTCTAGGCTAGCCAAGGTTACAGAGTGAGACCCTGTCTCAAAAAACAAAACCCCCATCCCCCCAAAGCCCACAACAAAACCAAACCTTGCTATCGGTCAAGGAAGCAAGTTTCTAGGTCCCAGCTACAAGCTGCATTGCTGCTCTTGTAGAGCAGAGTGGTGTCAGCAGTGCTGCTCCTGTGTGAAGCGCAGCATCAAGAACGCAGCATTAGGGGGCCAGGTCAGTGATAAAGCATGCACTTAGCATGTAAAATCCCTGAGTCCAGTCCTCATCAATCCTCCTACCAAAATAAGTAAAGACAAAAAAAAAAAAAAAATAGCCCCCCAAGGCAACGTGAGCACTGGTGATACCTGGAGGTCATGCCTACAGGACCATCCTATTTCTGGTGCCAGAAGTGATAGGAAGTCATTGCAGACATCTAAATGAGAGAGTTACTTTACTGGGCAGCTGGGGAGGGCCATAGAAAGGCCTGTGCAGCATAGTGCTTCAGAGAGCGCAGCTGTGAGCATGTGTGAAAGACAGGCAGTTAAATCAGCACAAGGCACAGTCGAGCCCTAGAACCCACTTGTCTCAGGGATGTGAGTGCAGCTACCCTGGCTTCCTGAGAGTCCAGCCAAAGCTGCTTCTCTGTACCTTTCAGCCCCTGACAGATGCACACACACACACACACACACACACACACACACCTTTGCTCTTTGTGCTGATCTTCATTAATTCCATCAGAATACATGAGAAGGATTCAGCATAGGAACATTCTAGATGGAGTGTAGATTTTTTTCTACAAATGTCTGTAAATGAGATTTTGCAAGAGTTTCTTCTAGCTGTGGGCTGATGTTGCTTGAAATTTTCAAAATCCAGGTTCAGGCTTCCCAAAGTTGGCTTGGATAAATGTGAGCTTTCACTTGAGTGAGACATCTAAGAAGTTGTCCTCAGGCCTGTGGGCTTCAGTGTTTGGGGGAAACATTGGTTTTCTGTGTGTTTTTTTTCCCTTCTGTTTCAAAATCTTCAGATTTCTTCAAATGCACTCCTGGTTTTATTTGGAGTCTGTGACCAAGGCTAGGCTGAGACCCGAAATGTAAAAGCCACAGAATTAAACAGAACAGACTGAAAAATGGGTCTTTAGCTGAACAAATTCTACTTCTTGGATTTCTTTGGAAGTATTTAGGTTTGTCCTTAGAAGTTGCTGTCTCTAGCACTCCTTTATCTTTAGGTAGAGCAGGTACATAACGTAATGCCAGAATGTCTGTGCTTTTCCATACCTGATGTTCTTGCCTTGTTTTTCAGTTTCAGTGCCAAGCAATTGAGCCCTGTGGTGTGAAATAAAAACCATCTATGTGTGTAGTTGTGTCTGAAAGAATACGGTTTGTTTATTAAATGACGATAATGCTTTTTCTTCAGAGAGAAGCAAAAGTTAGCATTATTCATCTGTTATTCTGCATGTCGGGAGCAGCACCACCAGTAGCCATGTGGTTCCCCCTGAGCAGGCTGGGGACCAGACAGTAAGGCACTGAAGTTGTGTATATGAGCTTGAGTTGTTTGTCCGTCTTAACAGTTGTCATCAGCTCAAGGGGAGCCAGTAAGCTCAATTTCAAGTGCCTTCTCTATCATTAAAAAGTTCTTAAAAATTACATTTATTTATTATATATAGGGAGGCGGGGAGAAACACATGCCATAGTGTGTAAAAAATTTTTCATTTCTGAGATGGAGGTCTCACTATGTTGACCAAGCTGATCTTGAATGTTTAAACTTAAGTGGTCCTTCTTCCTTAGCTTCCCAGGGAGCTAGCTGAATTACATTTAGGTGTGTGCCACATATCCAGCTAATCTAAAAATAAAGGTCAGAGCAGAAATTAATAGGAGACAAAAAAAAAAAAAAAAACCCAGAGAAAACTCAGCAAAGCCGTAAGTTGTCTTTTTGAGAAGCCTAACAAAATGGATAGACCTTTAGCTAGACTGGTGAAGAATAAATGGGGTGGCCGGTGAGGTGGCTCAGTCCGTGAAGGCACTTGCCACCAAGCCTGACAATCCGAGTTCAGTCCCTCCTCTCACGTGGTGGAGGGAGAGAACTGGTTTCCCCTAAGTTGTCCTCTGACCGCCACACACTCACTGTGGCATCTTGTCATACACAAAATAAATGTAAAAAAAAAATTAAAGGTGTTAGAGAGATGACTCAGAGGTGAAGAGCACTGGCTGCCTCCGCAGAGGACCTGGCTTAGGTTCCCAGCACTCACATGCTCACAACCTTCTCTAACTCCTGTTCCAGGGAATCCAGCACCCTCTTCTGACCTCTGCAGGTACCAAATGTGTATTTGGTGCATATGCGTACATGCAAGCAAAAATGCTCATACACATAAAATAAATACCAAAACAAAAACAGAATAAGAAGAATCAAATCACCAAAAGCATGGATAAAAAGGGTTATTGTATACTGGTAATATTTGTTTGCCCAGTCAGAACTCCCACTGGTAATTACTCCAGAGCCCAGGGTTCTCCCAGTTGCCCTTTTGTCTGTCCGGGTTAGAAGCTTACATGCGATTCACAGCTGAGGCCACTGGCCATCAAACTGAGCTTTGCCTAGCAGCATAGGGTGTTAACACATGGGTCCTTGGGTCCTTCAGCCTGAATTTGAGGTGAGGGACATTGTCATGTTTTCTCTGATCCTCTTAAATTTGTTAAGTCCTACCAGAACATAGACAAAAAAAAAAAAAAAAAATCAAAATCCGCCCCCCCAAAACCCCCCAGAGGAATGAACTGATCTAACAGTCTGGAGAAAAGCTGTGGACTCTTGGCCAAACCAACATGGTCCAGAACTGACTGGAAGGATGAGGAGTCTTGTCAGCACAGCTGACTCAGGGGACTGGCTTTCTGAGTCTTCAGCCCGACCCCCTGGGTGTCTCATTTCTTTGGCTTCTCCTGCAGGGCTGTTTCCCTCACCTCTCCTACAGGAAATCTGCATATATTGGCAGGGCCATGACCATGTCAGTTTCCCTTAAATATTGCCCAACATCCAATTTCCAGGGAGCTGCTAGCCAGGCCGACAAATATTTAAAGAGAACCTTTTATGTGCAAACTGCTCTATTACGGGGTTCAGGTGCCCAATGGAATCTCTTATCAAGGCAGGTTAAGGTCTAAGGTTAGGGGTAGAAATAAAATACTTGGGTCTCAGCAAGATGGCTCAGTGGGTAAAGGCACCTGCTTCCATGCCTAACAACCAGAGTTCAATCCCCGAGACCCACATGGAGGAAGGCGAGAACCAACTCCGTGCAAGTTGTCCTTTGACCTCCATGCACATGTCATGGTGCCCAAGTACATACAAACATGTACATACAATAAATAAATAGATACATGTATTAATAAAAAGCTCGTATTAGAAATGAAATGCTCTCAAGGGAAAAATCCACGTTCCATAAGTCATATTAATTTTGTAGATCACAAGCCAATAAATGGTCACAAAATCATATTTAGTGGGTTTGTCACTGGCCTTGAAGTCACAGAGATCTGACTGCTCTTGCCTCCTGAGTGCTGGGATTAAAGATCTAGACCATCATGCCTGGCCCTTTGTTTTGTGGTCCTGTAAATTGAACCCAAAGCCTTAAGCATGCTAGGCAAATGTTCTACCAAAGGAACTACACTCTTAGACCTTATTTTATGGAATTTTTGCTTGGTATATTATTTATACTGGAGTTGTGGCACTATATTATGATGGATTTATTTATTTTTAGTTTTACATGTATGAGTGATTTGCCTTCATGCCTGGAAGTGCACCATGTGTGTGCAGTGCCTGTGGAGACCAGAAGAGGGGATCAGATCCCCCAGAACTGGAGTTACAGAGGGTTGTGAGACACCAAGTATATAGCTTTTTTAAAAATACAGGTTTCTGAAAAGTCTGAAAGAACAGATCAAATATACTTCAGAACACTCAGGAAACTAAGAAGAAGGGATGAGAGGAAAAGGGGACAATACAGTAAGGGGGGGCAGGGACATGGGTCGTGACATAGCACCCAGGCTCCAAACTGTTACTATGTGTGGTGAACATCACTGTCATGGACAAGGTAGGACCTACCTAGTCAGGGTATGTCATCTAATCAGGATATGCCTCCTGAAGAAATGTCTGTGGGGGCGGATACAGAGACTTAGGACCTTTTGATTTTAAGCTATGTTAATGATTAATTGTATTTCTCTTGTGTATAGTTTATCAGCTTGAGATAGCTTATCAACTCCTCCAGTTGCCCCTGTGGACTTTGACAGTTCTACAAACAAGTGACAATGCCACACAGATAGGCCCCGAGATGGGGTGTCCCTCACTCCTCTCTTTCCCCCTAGTACTTTGTATTTGCTTGTTTGTTTGTTGTTTGTTTGGAGACAGGGTCTCTTGTAACCCAGGTTGGCCTCTCACTGTGGAGCTGAACTGACCTTGACCCCTTGACTCTCTTACTTCACCGACCGACTGAGGGCTGGCATTACATACATGGTGGCCAGCTCCCCACCGAGGACTCTGCGCAGTCTTTGACAGCCGCTTGACGCAAGCTGTGGTACTGACACCTTACCTGCAGTCCTGTGGGATATGTACTTAGGGGCTCCCTCCTATTCAGAGATCTACGTATTGGAAGTATTTGATACCCTATCTCCAGGTGGGCTTCTCATTCTTTTTATATACTCCTTCGAGGAAAGGCCTGATGGGAGACTGACCTTTCCTGACAGCCCATTGCACTTTGAAGTCCCATGTGGATGACATAATGTCTGAAAAACTCTGTAAGTTTAACCAAGACAAATATTCAGTGTTATTACAGAGTTGAAGGGGCTCTGGAGGAAATTCTGCAAGAGCTATCATTACCTCAAAATCACTCAGAAAGTAAATGAGAGGGCTATCACAGCTCCCCCCACCCCCTTACCCACTGGAGCACTGAAATTACAGAGTGGAGATAACTGAATTTTAGAAAATCACGGAGTGACCAGAGGAATCTGACTGGCCTCTGTACTTTTATCTTTTGTATATGCTAGGCAAGACACAATCAGTTTACAGACAGAGGTAGCTCAGGCATGGCCTCAAACTCATTATGAGACCAAAAGGTGACTTTAAACTTGTGATCTTCTGACTCCACTTCTCAAGTGCTGAATTAGAAGAGTACATTTCCAGACCTGGTTTTGCTGGCCTCAAACCCATGGTTTCATGCAGGCTTCAGCATGCACTGGACCAACATGTACCCAGTCCCCTTTTATTTTGAGAAAGTCTCACGTAATTGCCCCAGCTGGTCTTGAACTTGAGATCCTCCCGCCTCCAGAGTAGCTGAGATGATAGGTCTGCACCACCAGGACTGGCGGTTACCCCGCATCCACCACCACCCACTTTAGTGTTTACCCCCTTTTTCTCTAGGCAGCCCTGAAGAGCAAGCTGCCACTGAGCACTGGGTCCTTGCTGCCACCTGTTCTAGGAACGTTGGGTTCCTTTCCCATGACTTCCCTCTCGAGGGAACTTTCCCCAACACTTGGATGCGGTCTCTATCGCACAAATCTAGAGCTACTCCAGGCAGCTGGGCACTTTCCCTGTGCCAGGACAGAAGCATGGGTACTCACTGGCTCCTGTGCCATTGAAAGTACTGCTCCAGGTGACAGCTGGTTAAGCCATAGAGGAAACAATCCTAAGAACATCCCGCTGAATAGAACAATAAGAGTTTAGTGGGTGGTTTATTTTTCTCAAGAAATTTGCATATCCGAGGCTCGACACCCAACACAATAGGCCTTTCCTACAGCGGAAGAGACTCCCTCCCGAGACATTCCTCAAACAAAACCTAAGGCTTGTCTGGCTCCTTAGGAATCTGATTACTGCGAGAAAGTGGTGCGAAAATCTGAAAAAATCTGAAATGTGAATATAATCTTTTATTTGGATCGTGACAAGACATTTTGGTTCTTTTGGTTGGCTGAGACATGCAAAGGAAACACGGGCTATGGGTTGCTCCATCCTGCTTAGAGAACATTTTAGAATTGGGGAAAAACAGAGAGACGCCTCTTAGATTCATCAGCAGTGTTAAAACACAAATATCTACCAAGAGAGGGGCACTCTACTTCAGGATGGAGGCCAGGCTGTGAGAGCTTCCCACAAAGGGCACAGAAGGACAGATGGAAGGTTTCCAGAGAATAGAGGAGCCTGCGGTGCCGCTTAGAGTCAAGGATGGAATTCGAGAGGAAGGGTGGATGAGGCCGTGAGAGGTAGGATGCGAGCCCGGGATGCATAGCGTTAGAGGACCAGGTTGGCTGGGGTAACTGGACGCTGCTCCCTGGCCGCCCCACGTGGCATGCCCTGGGGAGCGGGGCGGGGCGGCAGGCGGGGGCGGGCCCTGCGGTGACGCGCGGGGTATATGGCCGGGCATGCGCACGCGGCGGGGGCCGGACGCAGAGAGGGGGCGCGTGGCTGTCGGCGGGGACGCACCCACTCAGTAGCTGTGTCGCCGGCTGCTCCGGGGCCTGGATAGTGAGGCTGCGCGGGTCCGACTGCCGGCTGGAGGACTGCAGGTGAGGACTGAGCGGGCGCACGCAGGATGGGAACCGGCGCACCTCCTGGCTGGGGGACACCGGGTGGGGGTTGGGGACACAGGCACACCGAGGACCGGGATCCTTTCAGGAGGCCGCGCACTCCCTGAGCCCGGTCCTGCTGGCACCTGATCGCCGTGCCACGGTGGCGAGGGGAAGGAGGTCACAGAGCTGTCCCTTCGGCTAGAGGGCCTGGGATGTGTTGAGCTAGAGAAGGGCGCCGGAGAGGTCGATAGCTGCGCGGAAAGGCTGAGATGGGTTTTCTAAGAGCCCGGGGACACAGAGCGCAGAGGAAGCGGAGTAGATGAGCAGATCGGATGCTCTGCGGTGGCGGCTGCTCGCCTGTGGCTCCGGTGCCTGGACCTTACATTCCAGGAACCTGTGTGTCCTCCTCCCTGCCCCCTGCCAGGCCACCCTCCGGCTGAAGAGTGATGCCCAATCCTTCTGATTAGGTTGGGCCGGAATGGAGAACCGCTAGGGACGCACCGAGCTGATTTCCCACTTGGCTAACGGCAGGAATGACTCTTGGACTCTTTTAGGTTGGGACTGACCAAATTAGGTGGTCTGGTTACCCGCAGCTCCCTCTTGGAGTTTTAGGACTATGGCCCAAATAGCCATTCAGATTCACCTTGTGATCCTGAAGTGAGATCACACCGGAAAAAGTGCCCCTCTCGGTTGTGGGTTCAGCTTTAAGAATCTTGTGTCTCCCCGGGCCCAGATTCCAGACTGATCGGACTGTCCAAATAGTTATGTGGCCTGTGTGTTCAAGTTTGGTTTGGTGAGGGGCAGGGTGCTTTCCTGTGACCTAAATGGAAGGGTAGGGCAGGAGCAACTTTGGCAGAACACTTCTTCCTGAAGCATCCTCTGGATTTGAAGTTGTGGCATTAGTCCTTTTTACCCAGCTAGCCCCTGGTCACTGGGATACAGTGACTGGGGTTGTTGATTTTAGGGGATGGTGGAAACTGGCCCCAGAGTAGCCAGCCACCCTGACCTCTGTTCAGTGCCTGTTCTTAACATGATCTGCGACCTTGGGGAGGGTTCAGGTTAGTACTGAGGCCAGCCTGAATTGTTGATCTGAAATATGTACAATTCCATAATCCTTACCTATTAAAACAACCCTTAAACACTGAGCGGTTCCAACATGCCTCCTTGGCCAAGCAGCCAGGGGAATGGCCAGAGTCACAACTTTCAACAACTAGAATTAAAGGTCCCTTTTCTGTTGGTGACTCAGTCGAGCTCTTTGCCAGTGGTGCCAGTCAGCCGATGGGTCCTCTTCGTGTGACTTTTATTGGTGTGACCAGAGGCACTGAACTGACCCAGGATATGGGTTCTTCCAGAAGGACCATGCCGGAACACTTCTTGCTGCTGTATCTGTCTTTTGGTTGTTCACCAAATACGGGGATAAAAGAACCCAGAAATTGGCTAAGCAACCAACTCACTCGAGGACTGAGGGAGGAACTGGTCTTTCATTTAGACAAGAGGAGGAGAGTTACAGGCTCCCGGGGATCCAGAGCTCTGTAGCAGACCCGTGTTGATGCCGAAAGCCCAGGTCCCTTGGACAGTGTTTGGGGTTGCACCCTTCACCGGCCACCTGCTCTGCCTTTCAGGTGAAGGCACGGGGAGGGAAGAATTAAGTGGCAACCCCAGAGGTCTCCTTGCTGGTTGGAGCAGTTTAGAGGAGGGAGCACTCTGTTAGAGGTGGGACAGACACAGTGGCAGAGTACTCGGGTCTTTGGAGCTGGGTGGTTCTCTGTCCAACAGTGAGTCTGTTCTCACTGCCTGGTGGGACGCTGTGGTCATGTCTGGAATGTGGCTGGCGCCTTGGTAGCGCCACCATTTTGTGGGTTTAGAGTCTCAGCAGCTCAAGTAGGCTAGGTTGTAAGGATGGTTGGAACCCAGACATAAGGTGAATTGTCTCCTCCTTAGCAGGATATAAAGTGTCCCTTGTCCTCCTGGGGAGACTGCTTTTCTGTGGCCTGCCAGGGAATAGCTCACAGATCCATTGGGCAATCTTAGGGAAAAATGGGTGTTTTTCTGCCATGAGTCTGTTCCTCCTCAGGGTTAGTGATGGCCAGGAAGAACTCCACCCCAACCCCCCACAGCGCCCTTGTGTGTGTAGGATGCTTGTTGGTCACAGGATGGGTCCTGGTTTCAAAGATTTTTCTACCCCCTTCCTCTTTCCTGCACCCCAAGCTAATCCCTCCTGGGGTGGAATATATTGCATGTACCCCCCCCCCACACACACACACACAACTCTACCAGTTCTATTCTCTCTATTCCATTTAATGCCTGAAGAAAGTAACACCCTACCATTTTGCAGAACCACAGGCTGACCTGTTATCTGGGGTGACTTTTAAAGACACTGGATTCAGGTTAATTGGTATCCCCAGAGTCACAGTGCTTGCGAGTGGCAGAGCCTTACTGGGGAATACCAAAGAAGTGTCCTGCTCCCCGCCCTTTAAATATGGTGAATTGACCGATAATCTCATGTTTTCCTTGGAACACTGGGAAGGGGGTCAGTTATTGCTCAGCATATGGGATGCACCAAGGGAGGGGGTTTCTGCTTCTGCCTTAGTAGTTGGTCTGGGGAAGCCCCGTACTTCTTTCTTTTGTAGACTCTGGAGGAAAGAGAGGGTTCAAAGACAGCAAGCAGGGAAGGAGAAAAGGGTCATGCTGTCACCCCCCCACTCCCTTAGAGTCTACAGTGGGCCTTCCCTGACCTCCATGCTGGCGGCTGTCAGAATGCCAGGAGATAAGAAGTCCAGAGTCTGCTAACTTGGGACTGTTGCCAGCCAGGGCCTCATGCTTGTCCATCCCAAGAACTCCAAACCCCGACTGCCTTGGAGTCTCCAGAAGGGGCCCTTGGTTGGGCCCAGCCCACATGGGGAAGCAGAGCCCCCTACTGGGCCTTCCAGTTTATATCAGGCCAGAAGGCCTGGCAGGTATGGAACTCACCTACCAGGGGAGCCCCAGGCCTAGCCATGGCAACCAGAGTTTCATAAGCCTTCTAACTTTCTGCCAGAACAGCCCCAGGAGGGCCTAGAGTTTGGTGGAATAAAGTGATGCTCCTAAATTTATTATGGTTGAGCCCTAGAACTCTCAGGGAGTTCTATATCATTACAAAAACATCCATTGAAAGTTGTGAATTAAGGGGGTGAGAGTATGTAGTCAGTATAGCTCTGAGTGGAGTGGTATTATTATTATTATTATTATTATTATTATTGGGGTTTTTCAAGACAGGGTTTCTCTGTGTAATAGTCCTGGCTGTCCTGGAACTCACTCTGTAGACCAGGCTGGCCTCAAACTCATAGAGATCCGCCTGCCTCTGCCTCCTGAGTGCTGGGATTAAAGGTGTGTGTGCCACCACCGCCTGGCTGCTTTTATTATTACTTATTTCATAAGGAAAAAGAGGGAGGTGGGAGTGTTGTCCAGTGGTAGAGCACTTGCCTAGCATGTACAAAGTCCTGGGTTCATCCCTTGAACCGCAGGTATTTTTTTGTTTGTTGTTTTGTTTTTAAATTACGTGATTTATTGACTTGGTGTGCCTGTGTGTGTCCGTGGGCACATATGCCTTTGTGCATAAATAGAGACCACAGGACTTATGAGTCATCCTACCAGTCCAATACAAGGTTTTAGGAATTCATTTTCTCCTAGGAACTTGAAGGTGTAACTCTGTGGAATGGCTGAGTGGATAAATGTGCTCACTGTCCGCTCAACATCAGAGTTGGAGCCCCAGGACCCACGTGGTGCAAGGAGAGGACCAACTCCCAAAAGCCGTCCTCTGGCTTGTGCTTGTGTGTACACAAGCACACAAATCAATGGAATAATAATAATATTTTTTTTTTAAATCTATTTGTGCTCATTTAGGTCCACCTGCTCCCATTATGCTAGGCTGACACTGCCTCCAACTACAACTAAACCCTGATTAGACTTGGAGATTGTATACAAAAATCACACCTACATGTTGCATATTTGTGCACTGTGTGGAGGTGTAGTTCTGTGATTGATGTGATAAAAAGCTGCCGGGCCATTAGCGAGGTAGGAGGTATAGGCGGGACTTCCGGGCAGAGAGAGAGGAAGTAGGAGGAGATAATCCAGGTGCCAGAGAGAAGGCGTCACCTGTGATCCCTTGTTTTCCTTGGTTTGTGGTGCCGGGGACAGAACCCAGGGCCCTGTGTACACTCCGCAGTGTTCTGCCAGTGAGGTGCGTTTCCAGTCCTCTTTGTTTTCTCCGTGAAATAATTTTCACTACAGTCAAAAATGAAAGCACTCATCATCCTGTTCCCCCGCTCTGCCTTTTTAAAATGAAGGTTCTTGGGCAGCGTTTCAGACATTGCTTACCAGTTTCCTAGCGGCTGTTATTAACACCCCGCCATTCGGTCGCATGTGTTTACATTCTCTGTTACAGCTGAGTAGTGGTCCGTACATCTGCCTTAACCTTCCCGAATTTTCCTCATTTTTCCATTACATGTGGGACTGCAAGGTATAACTCTGCACACAAGTGGCACTTCCTAAGCATGTCATCATAGGATAAGTTTTGTGAAGTGGATTTCCTACGCAAATGGATAACTACAGCCTATGCAAAAGGTTAGATACAGCCTAAAATTTAGTTAGCATTCATTAAAAAATGACATTTGCAAACTGTATTTAGAATCCTATGTCTTTTAGGTAACACCTAATTTAAATTTGTAATTCTTTATTTTTACTTTTGTAACTTATGTAGGTTATTCATTTTCATACTTTAAAAAATTTAATTTTAGCCAGGTGGTGGTGGCGCACGCCTTCAATCACAGCACTTGGGAGGCAGAGGCAGGTGGATCTCTGTGAGTTCGAGGCCAGCCTGTTCTATAAAGCGAGTTCTAGGACAGCCAGGACTGTTACACAGAAAAACCCTGACTCAAAAATTTTATGTGTATGAAGGTTTTTCCTTCATGTATGTCTGTGTACCACTTGCATGCAGTGCTCACAGAGGCCAGAAGAGG